TCATCTTCCTCACTGTCCTCATCTTCTTCACTGTCCTCATCTTCCTCACTGTCCTCATCTTCCTCTTCTTCTCCCAGGAACGTCTTGATGACCTCTGACCTCCTGCTGGTGAAGCAGTGGAGCATGTAGACGGCAGCCAGAAACTCCTGGATGCTCAGATGAACAAAGGAGTAGATGGATTTGTTGCGTATCCCTTTCTCCCTTTTAAACATCTGAGTGAACACTCCTGAGAACAACGCAGCATCTTTGATCTTGATGCTGCAACGTTTGAGGTCTTTGTCATAGAAGATCAGGTTTCCCTTCAGCAGCTGATCTAAAGCCAGACTACCTAGAGACTCAATCAGCTTCCTGTTCTCTGGATCTTCAGCTTTTCCACTATACTTGTCCTCCTTAACTGTGAGTTGAACCAGCAGGAACTCTATGTACATCTCAGTCAGGGTCTTGGGCAGCTCTCCTCCCTCGCTGGTCTCCATCATTTCATCCAGAACATTAGCAGTGATCCAGCAGAAAACTGGGATGTGACACATGATATAGAGGGTTTTTGATGTCTTGATGTGGGAGATGATCCTGCTGGCCTTCTCTTCATCACCTCTGAATCTCTTCCTGAAGTACTCCTCCTTCTGGGGGTCAGTGAACCCTCTGACCTCTGTTACCATGCCAACAAACTCAGCAGGGATCTGATTGGCTGCTGCAGGTCGTGTGGTTATCCAGAGGAGAGCAGAGGGAAGCAGTTTCCCCCTGATGAGGTTTGTCAGCAGAACATCCACTGAGCTGGACTTTTCAGGGTCAGTTAACATTTTAGTCTTGTGGAAATCCAGAGGAAGTCGACTTTCATCCAGACCATCAAAGATGAACAGAACATGAAAGTTTTCAAAGCTGCTGATTCCTTTGGTTTTAGTGAAGCGCTCATGAATCAGTTCCACCAAGCTGAACTTTTCTTCTTTCAGTACATTCAGCTCTCTGAAAGTGAATGGAAATATGAACTGGATGTTCTGGTTGGTTCTGCCTTCAGCCCAGTCCAGAGTGAACTTCTGTGTTAACAGTGTTTTCCCAATGCCAGCCACTCCCATGGTCATCACTGTTCTGATTGGTTGATCACTTCCAGGTGGGACTTTAAAGATGTCTTCTCTTCTGATTGTTTCTTGTTTCCTGGATGCTGTTTCAATCCGTCTGACCTCATGTTCCTGGTTGACCTCTCTAGTTAACCCCTCTGTGATGTGGAGCTCTGTGTAGATCTGGTTCAGAAACGTTTTATTTCCAAGTTCAGCGACGCCTTCAGAGAGACTCTGGAACTTCATCTTCAGATGGTCTTTAAGCTCCTTTTGACACCGAACATCAAAATCTGAAGAAAAATAGACAAAGACACAACAGGAGAGACTTTAGCTAAATATAATGAATAAAATTATATTTGATATTCTCCGAGGAGGTTTGAATATAAACTTTAATGAAGGAAAAATTCTACTTTTATAATATTTTCTCATCTAAACAAGAAAATCATTCCAACTTCAGTCCTTAAGGACGGAGAAATGTTGAGATTTAATTTGTAATTCTGTGAAAACTTTGGCTTCAGCTCACAAAGTAAATAAATGAACAAAAAGTTCAAACCTGATAAAAACTCTGTTAAGTAACAAAAACTGCACAGAGATAATTAAAATCAGTTTTGCTCATTAAAAGTCTTTCATGTTTTTCTCTGGTTGAAGGTCTCAGACATGTTTCCCACAGAGCGACCTCTGACCTTTGAGTTTTACCAAACTGTTTAATTTGAAATTGCAATCCCAATCAAAATGAGTCTAGTGAACTATCAGATTTGAAAAAAATAAAACAACAACATTAAGATCAAAGTTTTACTAATTTTCTATTGTACCTGTGTTGTTGGGGATTTTTGTGTGTGTGTCTATGTGTGGGGGTCGTTCCCTTTGAGAGGTGCAGCCAGCTGCATGTCATGTGGCTTCAGCCAGAAAGCCAGACAGAGTTAGATTCATGTCACCCGTGTGTTCAGTCAGTCCATTTCCATCTGCATTCATCTTTGCCCTGACGAAGCATTGTAGGTACGTTGAGTTTAATATATTGTTGTGCATCATTATTTTTATATTATTTCTGGTTGTTGAAATGGATGAAAATATTTTTGGATGTTTATTGTAAGTTTGCACAACTTTGCTAATTCGTTTGGGACAGTATTTAATTTAGCTACGTTAAACTTATATGTACATGTTTACAAAGACGGTGAAAGTGATGTATTCCTTTTTGTTTGTATTTTAGTTTCACACTTCCTTGGAGTCAATAAACCTGTGGATAAAAGGTCAACTTTCCTCAGAGTCTTGATAAAAGGAAGAGTTTAGCTGTAATTTCTAGTTGCATTTCATGTGGCGAAGGCAGTAGAGTACCTAAAGCTGAAGAGATTCTCAGTAGCTCAAACTCATCCTCTGATTTTCTATGTAAATGTTTTGGCTTTGAATTTATTAATCATCTGTCCTGAACTGACCATGTTGAGACCTTTGACCACCTTTCTATGATTGTATATATGCTCAGGCCTTCTGGGAAGATTCACATCAATGGTTATCTAAATATATTCCATATTTCAGGTTTTAGTTTATCGCTCTGAAGAACAGGAAGCAACAAAAAGAGAAACGATGCAGCTGTGTCAGAGTTCAGTCAGAGCTGCTGTTTGCACAAACATGTGAAAGACCAAAGTAAATAATATTAGCTTGGTGTTGTGTGAATTTGGATTTAAAATAAATAAAGTTCAGGCTACTGGTTTACATCTTTTGACTGCATTTCCTACATTCAAAAGAGGTTGACATTTAAGAAAATAGAATACCAAAATTTATTTATATTTATAGTGAAATAATCAGCTGATCTGAGTCTTTGTCATCATGTTTG